TATTACGACTTCTTAATTACAACTTTCATGTTCTCATTTACATCTTGAAAAGGTGTAGAGTAAAAGAGCATTTAACTTTAGCTATGCAAATTATATCACAATTAGCATGTTTAATTAAGTACATTATGATTATCAACTTTAAAAAATGTCTAAAATTTAAACTCATTACGCAACTAATCAGTTTATTTACTAATATGTGCAATAAACATATTTGTACATATAGATAATTTTAGGAGCTAACTTGTCTCAATTCCATTTTTGTGTAAATGAGTTAAATACAAACTTGTCGCATATTCTGTCGGGGCCAAATAGCCTTCTAATCTTTATTTACTGCGGTTTAACAGGAAACCAAAATCAATCTAGTCTTAAATCCATTTTATTAGCTAAAAAATCATAAAAGAGTATTACTATACTATCACATTTATACTTGTATATACCACATTTTGCTACTAAAAATGTTTTAAATTGACTTTTGAGGTTGTTAACGTGACATATGATGATCTTCCCATTTAGGATTTATTCACTTAGTTCCATCCCGACCTTAGTTTCCATCCCGACCTTCGTCATAACTAACGTCATAATCAGATAACGTCATAACTAATGTTATAATCCGATAATGTTTTTTTTAAAATAAAAAAAGATTAAATTTTTTTTGTTTAAAGTTAATCTAGCGTTATAAAAAAATATATATAAAAAGCAAATGCTTTTTAATTATATTCGTTATAAAAAATATAAAAAAAAGTTTTTTGTCAAATTATATAATTGTTTTTTATAATATAAAAAAATGGTTAAAGTTAAAAAAATTGATGAAAATAAAAAAAATAAAGTTAAGCGAAAACTGTTTGAAAAACCTGTAGCTGTAAGTTTATTATTTTCTTTTTTTTATAAAATTTGTTTTGTATTTTTTTAAAAGTGTTTGTGATTTTTTTATAGATTGTTAAACCTTATGTGCCAGAAAACGTATATAAAGTGCCTCAAATTTATGTCCCTCAAGTGGTTAAAACGAGACTACTTGAGGAAACAGATAAACATTTGTATGAAAATGAGCTGGAAATCTACGACGATATTCCAGAAATAGACAACGGTAAATTAATATTTATTATAAACATAATATTTTTTTTAAAACAAAAAAATATTATGTTTATATTTTTTTAGAACAAGTACGTATACTTGACAGAAGTGTTAGAAGAATAGATGATCATTTACAGAATGAATTTGGTACGCCGAGGAGAACAAATGGTTTAGCAAGAAATGTTAGACGTATAGTATGTTTTGGTTGTTGTTTGTGTGATGAACAAATCGAGCACGATCATTGTTGTGTAACAACCGTGAGCCCATACGTGCAAGAACTACTTGAACGGAGCCGCGGTTGTTGCTATTGTATTTTAAAAAAATATGTAAATTGTATATATGTAAAATAAAAAATTCATTTATCAAAATGTCTTTTGATGCGACGGACGATTGTTTGTTATATTTATATCAAATTAATTTAGATTTAAAAAAACATTTACAGGAAACGCATTTAAATCAAGGTGTTTGGATGGATAAAGTTCTTTTAGCTGAAGAAAGCGAATTGGATAGTTGTAAAAGAGTATACGGTTTTTATATTAAAGATTTAAAATTGATAAAGACATATCAAAAAGAGTTGATAGAAGTTCTTGTTTTGCTATTTAAATGTCTTCCGCATCGCGTATTTTATCCTGACACGTGTTTTCATAATTATAGTGAAGTTATTGAACATTGTCTTGATGTGTTAAAAACATTTTATTATTATTTTACGTGTATAGATAAATTGTATAAAAAAATAAACTATGTAAATAGTTTAAAAATAATAGTTCAACAATTGTGTTATTATTGTAAAGGATTAGTTGGAGGATTATATTTGCAAAAAGATGTATTGGAATGTTATCATATTATAAAAAAGGAAAGAGACAATATATTAAATGAAAAAATTTATTAATGTAAAATTTTGTTTTTGTTCTCATAATAAACTTTTAACAAGGTTTTCAAAACTGTTATTGATATTTTCAAAGAGTTCTGTAAAATTGTTCGTACGTTTTTGAATTTCTTCGTCTATAATAACACCAATACGATAAAATTCTGCCAACACTCTACAACTATCGGATCCGTATCGGTCTTCTGCTATGTTTATTAGTATTCTTGCTTCTTGAGGGTTGTAACTAACAAATCTTTTGATCATTTTTAACATTTTGACCATTTTTAACAAGTTTTAACAAATTTGATCATTTTTAACAAGATTCATTTTTTTGTTATGAATCTAAAAAAAATAAAAAAAAAATTATTTTGATAATATTTGCTTTACAAAATTATAAAAGTCTCGTTTAATTTCTTCTGTTTTTTCAATGTTTTTTAAATAGTTTGTTTGTTTTAAAACTTCTTTTTGTACCAATAATAATATATTGCCAAACGCTTTTAATGTCGATGGATCATTAATCTTTTCATGTTCAACATTTAAAAATTTTGTCATTATATCGGATTCTTTTCTGTTAAAAAATAAAAAGTCTTGATCGTCTCCAGTAATTAGTTTCATTTTTTTATTCTAAAATAAAAAGTTAAATAAAATCATACACGTCATTTCTATTAGGTTTAAAATAAGAATTAATAACATATTCATGTTGTTTAAATAACCAATCTATACATTCCATATAAATATTAAAAAAAGATTTCATGACTAATTTATGTTGCTTAGTAGCAGAAAAACAATTTATATAATATATTATCAACAATCGATATTTGAATATGTAAATAATGTGATCTAATTAATATACGTCTGTCAATTAATTCAAAACAATCGTCTTCGTGTGATTTGTAAACAGAATATTGTGATAAAATTTTTTGAATATTTTGAAAAAACGAATATATCAAATTGTTAATTTGTTTACGTAAATTTGGTATGACTATTTGTTGTAGTTTTTCAGAAGCTAACTTTTTTTTACACAAATCTTTCAAAGTCCATGTATCATTACGGTTTTTATATCTTAATTCTTCATTACACCTAATCCAAAACTCTTTTAATTTGTCTTCTTTTATTGAAAAAAATTTCTCTAAATCATGATGTATTCTAGCATGTCTAAGTAAATTTTTTCTTAACATTCTAAATAAAATCATATTTATAAATATAACAAGGTTTAAAATGAGGATCATTAACAAATTTACATTGTTCAATTAACCAATCTATACATTGCATATAAATATTAAAAAGAGATGACATAATTAATTCGTCTTAATTAGTTTTATAACGAAACATAAAATAAGTTTGATTAAAAAATTGATATACATAACGAATAATTAATTTCTGAACAAATAAATAATTTTTTTTATAAATATCTTTCGCATTGTTAATATTGTTAATAATGGTATCAAAACAATGATCAATAAATATTCGATGATAGAATAATAATTTTTCGTTTCCATCTAAAAACGTATGCAATAAATCGTTAATTTGTTTTTGTAAATTTGGTATAACAGTGTTCAAAAGTTTTTCGTAAGCTAATTTTCTTTTACATAAATCTTGTAAGGACCATGTTTCAACATTTGTAACAAGATTGAAAACAAGATCATAGTTGTAATTTCATTCTATCAACTTGTTTTCCTTCATCGAATTAAATTCGTGTAATTCATTAAGTATGTTATTAAATTGATCTTTTTTCATTGCTAAAAAAAATATACAAATTAAAAAAGGTCATATAAAATTTTAAAAAAAAATTGTTTTTTATTATAATAGTTCAAAAGTTCTTTTCGTTTTAAACTAATAACTTCAGGCGGATAATACGACGGAGTATTACATTTTGCGTTTATTGCCCAAAATGGATCTGCCGCTTTAAAGTTTGGATAATTGTCTCGATTTTCCAGTTCTGCATACGGTGGAGGATTTACACTTTCTTCGTATGATGGTGGTTTTTCAAATTTAACTATAAACTTTTTATAGATATCCTTTCTACCGATTTCATTTAACAAATTTAAAATAAGTTTGATTTTAGCCTCGTTAGTAGTGTATTCATAGTGTTGATATACGAAATCTTTGAACTCTAAATATTCCATTAAATCTAGTCCATCTTTAATTTTCTCTCTTATTCCGTACGGAATTTCTAAAAACATTTTTAATTTTCTTACATCAGACGTAGTGATGTAGTCAGCTAAATCTCTCATGATTGCACTGTTCATTTTTTTAATATTCTAAAAAAAATATAACATTATATAAAAAAATATATAATATAAAAAATACATTACATAAAAGAAACGTGTATAATAAGTTTATTAATTATATGATTAATTAAATACAAAAAAATACATAACAAATTATATAAAAGAAACGTGTATAATAAGTTTATTGTTTTTTATATAATGTCTTTTTAATTGATCATGTGTTGCAAAATTATCTGTTCCAATAGCTCGGTTATAAGCTTGAGCAGGTTTTTCAAAACATTCTTTTAACGGTTCGCTATAATTGGCTATTATTTTTGTGTTTTCAATACATTCGTTTTTAACTGTACATGTTACAGTTTTCATGAACGGCCATTTTAAAGAATGATCTTTTGGAGACTGTATTAATTGAAAATAAATACCCATTTTATCTTCTTGATTACTGTAACCAAAAATTTTAAATCGATAGAAATACCATCTACAGTATAAGAAGGTTGAGTATGATAAGATTCGTTAGATTGCAATCTTAAATCCATTTGGTCCAATTCTATAATTAAATATTAGACATGATTTTGTCGTTGATATCTTTCACTTCTTTTTCAAATGCGTTTTTATTCACAAATTCTTTCATTTCCAAGCTGATGTTGTTTAATACTTTTTCAAATGTGTTTTTATTTACAAATTCTTTCATTTCCAAGCCCATGTTGTCCATTCGTTTAGTTAATGCGTTTATTTGTTTGTTGACAGCTTGATGTCAACAAACAAATAAACGATGTGAAAGATGTGGAAAACAAATAAACGATGTGAAAGATGTGGAAAATGTAACACTGACCGAGATGCCCAATAATTGTAAGTTTATTGTTTATAATGGTAATCCAATGGATTTAATGGTAAACCAATGTAAAATGGATGACAATAAAACAGATTTTTGTTATCAAAAAGAAGATGCAAGTGATAATGAAGAAGTCAATGCAAGTGTTAATGAAGAAAATGAAGAATGTGTACACAGTGATTCAGATGACGAAATTCTTGAATGTGTACAAAGTGATTCAGATGACGAAATTCTTCATGAAATATTTGATAATCGAAAATATTATCGAATAACTATTAAAAAACCTAATTTAAATGAAGAATTAAATAGTCTTCTTGAAGAATTAAATAATCTTCTTGAAGATTTAGTGAAAGGAAGTGATGAAGATAATGATGAAGAAAATGAAGAATGTGTACAAAGTGATCAATGTAAAATTGAATTAGACAAGATTAAACAAGATATAAGTGATATTCAAATAAAAATTGAAAAATCTAATTCAAATGAAGAAATAAAAGAAGAATTAAGAAATTTAGATATTAAAGTTAGTCTTCTTGAAGAACCAAATGGTTTACCTGACGGTCAAAAGATCTTTGTAATTCAAGATATAGTAAAACAAATGAATATTAATTCGAATGATTATCGTTCTACTCTTTTTTCTGCTCCGTTTTTTTATAAAAATTATAAAATGTCAATAAGAATTAATTTTAATATGGATCTTGAATATCATAATGAAATGATACATGGCGACTATATTGGTATATTTGTTGTTTTAATGCCACACATTTATGATGCTGTTTTAAAATGGCCGTTTAGTAATAAAAAAGGAACAATATCATTATTGGGGAAAAATAAATTTAAAAAATCGTTTATAACCAATGACGATACTTATTATCAAAGACCTATTAAAGATCGAATGAATCGAGCTTTTGGATTTGGAAAATTTATAAACAATACTGACCTTTTAAATTATATTGTAGAAGATTCTCTTTTTATTAAATGTAAAATTCATTAATTTTTTTTAAATTTTATTTTTTTAAAAAAATTTGTAACTTTTTTTAGGTAACTAATTAAAAAATGTTGTATAACATGATAGAAAAATTAAAAGAAAAAGATAAAGAGTTGGCTCATCAATGTGAAAAGTTGGACGATTATTTAAAAGGAATACGTAATGAATATTATATGGATGATATACAAGAATTCAAATCTACTGTTTGTAATAATTTGAATAGCGATAAACATAAACATACATACGATAAAAGTACTATCAATCTATATTTGAAAGTATGTACAAAGTTGATTATCAAGTGTAATAAATCTATTGATCGATTACAAGAGCAAATAAAAAAAGAAAAAGAATATCAAGAGGAAAGAAATGATGCGTTTATTGAATTTATAAAAGATAAAGACGATTGGCCTTGTTGTGCTAAAAAACAAAAGTTCGAAAATTATGTTCATGAATTTCGATACTTGACAAAAACAGAACTAGTTCAAAATTTAAAAATAAAAATACGTCACCAATTATTTAGTTTAATTAATAAAATAGAGTCGATATTAATTGCTGATTCTTAATTATTTTGTAATATGATTTTATAATAAAAATTTTTTATCAGATGTTAAAAACAATTAGAAAAAATGTTAAAAATATGATAAAAGATGAACATATGGAAGATTAGCAACAGTTGCAACTATTTGCTGTTAGCGAAAGTTTTGATTGTGAGCAATATAAATGTGTTAAAAAAACTTTTGAAAAATTTGATAAAGATGTGGATATGATCAAATATGAACAAAATGAAATTGTTTTTAAACTTGAACTTTTACATTTATATACCAAGATTGTATTAGATTTGTATCATCAGTATACAATTTGTATACAATTTACAAAATGTGAAAAATTACTTGAAAAAAAGATAAATGTAATGAATAGAATAGAAAAATTTTTAAGGGAATTGTTACGTTATGATTTTGATAAATGTGTTAATTTATTACTTTAAAATAAATTTTTTTAGAAAACTAATAATGTCTGATCTTATTTGTGAACCATCAGATCAAAAAAACAAAAGTTAGAAGAAGATGAAGTTCAATTAGAACCGGAATTACTCAAAGAAATTCAAACTTTACAGCAATTGGCTGATATTGATGATGTTGATGTAATAATGTTATTGAAATCATCGGCAAATTATGATGGTTTAATAAAAAATATTAAAATGAAGTATAATAATTTATTACTTGGCAGATGTTATTATGTTAGCACGTTAAACCAAAAACGTATTTACGATTTGCATCATAAATGTTTATTTAATTTATATCAAAAATTTAGTTTTTCTACTGCAAGATTGTATCTTGAAATGAAAGAGTTACGAGATCTTTGTTATTCTGAAAAAGTTAGTTTTTCTTCTACAAGTTTGCATCATGAAATAAAAGAGTTACAAGATATTTCTACTGTAAAATTGGATCCTGAATTTAAAGATATTTGTTATTCTATACATAAAAAATGTTATCCGAAAAAAGAAGTTTTGCTTGTTGAAGAAAAACTAAAATTAAAAAACACTTTAGCATATAATAGATACCGTGTAATTTGTAAATTATATAAAATGCTGAGTATATTTGATAAACAAGTTCGATATTTAAATGACGATTATATGAGTGATATACAATATTTAGGGGGTGATTTAAAATCTTTAGAAATATGGTGAATTTTTTGAGACATTATTGAGCTAAAATATAAAGCTATGATTTTTATTATGTTGTATTGATAATTATATAAATGTAAAAAAATATTTTTTTAGATGGAATTAACAGTAAAAATAGTAAATGAATTTATGAAAAAAAATTTATCGCACAATGAAATTTGCCCGTTTACGTATGAAGAATTGATTATTCAAGCTAAAGAATTTCAACCATTTGTATGTGAAGAATGTGAATTAAAAGAAGAATATTTGTATAAAGATGGTCAGGATAAATATTTTGATAACGATGTGTGGGATATTTTTTTTCGATACGAATTTACGAGATCTGAAGAAATGGCTTATAATCATCAATTAGTTGTTATGTTGACACAAAGATTTCAAAAACATTTGTTACATACCATAGATCGATTTTTACCACAAAACTTTAAAATATTTTTTAATTTTTTTTAAAACTTTCATAAATGTAGATGTGTTCGTTTCACACGTTAAAAATTGAACAATGAAAATAATAAAGTTGATAATGAAAGAAAATGTTATTATTGTAATAATCTTTATTAATTTGTAATTTTTTTTTCAGTTATAATGAATAGTAAAGAAAAACATGACAAAGATCTTAAAATATTTGGATCACAAATAATCACCGATGAGTATATTGACGAATCAGTAATAAATTTAGATCATAAAAAAGCATACGAAACTTTAAAAGAAACTCTTTTTCAATATCAATATGTAGGTGAAAAAGATCGATATCAAACTATAGCTAATTATTTTGTTTCAAGTTTGAAGGAAGTATTTTGGACAGCTCAATCTTTATCAAGAGAGAAACGTAATACATTAATACAAACTCATTTGGTTTGGATAAAAACTATGAAAGAACTTTGTGATAAAGGAATAATAATATCAGAAGATAAAATTAAAAATAATTATTGTACTGAGAGTAAAAAAAGATTTTTGAAATTTAAAATTGAATTAAAAAATGATATGATAGAATGTTTAAATTTGTATACTTGTTGTCCTTATTGTGAATATAATAAAATTTGTCAATATTGTATATGTTAAAATTTTTTTTAAATGATAACAGAAACTAAACTAAATAATACTTTGGAATTGTTAGGAATGGATGCCATTTCTCTTTGTAAAACACAATTTGTATCTGTGGAATACATGTTGCACGAATTACACGAAAAAATGGATTGCGAACTTAAAGACGAATATAATTGGGGTTCATTGATATCAACAAATAAAAGACAAGTACCAATGGAAATAGCTAGTTTTGTATTAATTTTAGCTTTATCTAAATTTAAAAAAGGTGAATTTCCAACTGATGATTTTTTTGAATTTTATAATTTTTTTAAAAATTATCATGACGAAGAAAAATTTATTTACCAATTAAATGAAAAAATTGAAGATAGCAGGAAATGGTATTATGGTAAACGAAAGTTAACTGTATTAAAACTCAATGACGTTATGTAACCATTTAGCGAACGACAATGGATTGAATCTACAGTTCATAATACATATTCAGTTGGTATGATGAAATTTACTTTATCAGATTTGTACGATAAAGCTTTAGCATATAAAGAAATTTGTGGAAAATGTAAAATTATTAAAAATGATGAACAACTTGAAAAACTTAATGTTCCAATTCCAAAAGATTCTAAATTAAATGTACCAACGGATTGGATAGATTTTTTTTAATATCAATTTCCTCATAATTATGTAATTTTATTTTTGCTAGAAGTATTGTTGTCAAATTATCCATATTATAAAGACAAAATTATTTTTATAAGTTTTATATGTTTTTTGAAAATTGTGATAAGAATTTAATTATTAATCAAGTTAATTTAAAAGTGTATGATTATGTATACAAACTTTTTTATTATTAATAAAAGATTATTTTTTTAGATGGAATTTACAGAAATAATATTAAATTGTGTAATGGATTCTTTTAAAAAAATTTGTGAAAAAGAAAATTGGACAGTGGCAGATTTACAATTTAAATATATGGAATATAACGCAGATTGTACTTTAGGAAATGTATCTGAAATGGAAAATATTTTTGAAGAAACAAATAGCTTTGTTAACAATCATCGTGTTGTTGTGTTGATAATTTCACAATATATAAGACGAAATTTTCATGTTTATTCAAATGTAAATTGTAACATGTTTTATCAATTTTATGAAAATATGAATCAATAAAAAAAAATGGATTAAAGAAATACAAATGTATATTAATCTATGCATCAGTTGGAGATATTATTTAAAAGAAGATACGAACGAAGACGTTTTTTATTAATTTTTGTTATATTAATATAATTATTATTTTAGATAAAAAAAATATAAATAATTGATATGCGAAGAAAATATCAACAACAAGATTCATTAAAAAAAATATTATTCGAAAAACAATGCGAAGAAATTACAAATGTATTATCGTTTACATTATGGGAAATGAGTAAAGAAATAGATTTGATAATAAAATTACATAACGAAAGAAAAAATCAACGAAAAAAACGAAAAATTATAATATTTGAACTGACAAATAACGAAATGATATCAATTATGATGTGCTTTTGTAAATTTGTTATATTATATATGTATTCTTAAAAATTTTTTTGTATTTTTTTTTAACATATTGTAACATTTATAAAAACAGATGGTGTTTGGGTAAATATAAACGGTAGAGAATTTAAAATCGAAAACGTTAGAGAAGACATTTTAGATTGTACTCATAGTATTATTGCATTTAGAATCGGTTTACCTTTACAATTAGCATTTTCTTTAACTGTTCACAAAGCGCAAGGTTGCACGTTAAATAAAACTGTTTTGAATTTTAACAGTAAAATATTTATTATGTCGTTACCCTATGTCGCGTTATCACGTGTTAAAGATTTAAATGATCTATATATAATTCATAATAATAAAAACGAATTGAGAAAAACATTAAAAAATATAACAAGTGATAGAGAAGTTGATTTGTTTTATAAAAATTTAAATGAAAAAAAATTTGTAACATGTGAAAAAAACATATTTTTATTATATAAATATAAAATTTTTTTTAGATTAGTAATAAAAAATGCATTTAAAAGTTAAGAACATTGAAGAAAAATTAGATAACGAAAGTTATTATCGAGAAATATTATATTTTGTAAATGACAATTATAAAGATGAAGATTTTATCGAAGAAATTGAATTAAACGATTAAATTCAAACACCTGAAGAAATTACTCATCACATTAATCAAAAAACACAAGATAGTTTTCTTATTGAAACAAATAAAGCGTTATCATTTGCTGATTTATTTCAAAGTTTTTTAATTGGTTATAATATTGTAACACTTTGTGCTAAATCTACAGAAGACGGTTATTGTAAAATTATAAAAAGATGTTACAATTCGCCTGTATATTATATAAAACCACTAGAAGGATCAATAAATTTACAATATATTAAAAGTAATAACATTCGTTCAGTTTTTAACATTTTAGAAAATGATAGCGGATGGAGAATAATTCGATTATCTAGTTTTAAAGTAAAAACATTAAGCAATTTAACTGAAAAATCAATGATGAAACTTCGAAATTATGAACTTGCTGGATACAAAAGTTTTTCAGAAAATCATTGGAAAAGCATAATCAAAATAAAAAATATTATACTGAAAATAAAAACAAAATTCTTCATAAACAAATTCTTCATAAACAAGGTCGCATGTATATAAGAGAAGAAAATCAAGATGAATGGTATGGAGAATGGTATCGACCTCATTCTTTAACTCAATGGAACAAACATAAAAGTAGTTCGTTTAAAGTATTATCATACGATCAAAAAAGAAAAATGTTTTTAGATTATAGTATTTTGTTTGAAAACGGTTTGTGTTTTTATTCAGCGTTTGTTATTTCATTATTAATAAGAAAGTGGAAAGTAAATACAATTAAAGAATGGAATACAAAAGTATTGGAAAAAAACGGACAAGATTTTTATTCTGAAGAAAATATAATGCAATTTCTTATTGAAGATCAAAATGATTCGTGGTTACATGCATTAAGTCTCTTAAAAGAAAAAAGAAAAAATTTATCATTCCTAGAACTCATTGATTTGTGTCACTCTTTTGCATACGAAAACACTTTTGATCGAATAAATATAAAAATTTTTTTAATAAATAAAAAAAATAAAAACGTTCGTTTGCTACACCCTAAAATGAAATCGCAATATAAAAGTGTACTATCGGAGCTATTAAAAGTGGTATACGAGAGTGCAAATATAACTAAAGAAGATCAAAATCCTCAGAGAGAATTTCTAAACGAAGACGAAAGAAAAGATGCTAACGAACGTAAAAAAACAGTAAATACAATAAAAATATGCTTGTATGCAATCTTTTCACGCTGTTAGCATGCTTAATGAACGTTTTTCTGTTATATATAATAATCATAATCGACTTTGTCTATGTTCGGAGTGTGGTCTTAAATATACTAATCAAATTCATAAACAAGAATGTATAGGATTTTATGTAGCAGACAAATTTACTTACGGAAAAACTAGACATTTTTATGAACCTCAAAATCAATTTATAAACACTTCTAGAAACGTTTTTCCTTTTTTTATTACATTTGACTGTGAAACAAGTGTTCAAACATCAAATTTAAAAGAAACAGAACACGTTAAACCCTTGTCAGATCTTTCGTACTATTGTCACGGCATTGTTATTCATTGTTTATCTGAAAATTTAGCTAGAGAATGTTTTGGTTTAGATGAAAGAAATAAAGTTATAACACAGTGGATATTTTATTTTGAAAGTACAATTGAAAGTTTGCAAGCAAATCCTTTAACATTACTACCTGCATGTTTTCAAGAAAATGTTTCTTTACTACACAAAACACGTAGACAAATATTGTGGCAAAAATTGGATGCAAATGACGAAAATGTTGAAAAAAATAAAAGCGAACTGAGAGTATATGATTTGTTAATTTTGGCTGACACTTTAGTTCGTTTTACCTACAAAAAATGTTTAC